CCCCAGTCCCTGTGGGGTGCCCCCCATCCCTGTGGGGTGACCCCAGTCCCCAAGGAGTGACCCCAGTCCCTGTGGGGTGCCCCCGTCCCTGTGGGATGATCCCCGTCCTCGTGGGGTGACCCCACTCCCTGTGGGGTGACCCCACTCCCTGAGGGGTGACCCCCGTCCCTGTGGGGTGACCCCTGTCCCTGTGGGGTGACCCCAGTCCCTGTGGGGTGACCCCCGCCTGGGAGGTGTACCCCAGTCCCCATTGGAGTGGACCCCTGTCACTTTAGGGTGACCCCTGTCCCTAAGGATGACCTCAGTTTCCCCAAGGAGTGACCCCCCATCCCAGTGGGGTGACCCATGTCCTCAAGGAGTGGACTCCCCATCCTTGTGGGGTGCACCCCCATCCTGCTGGGTGCCCCAGTCCCCATGGAGTGGTTGACCCCGTTCCCTGTGGGGTGCCCTGTCCCCGTGGGTGACCCCATCCCATGGTGTGCCCCCAGTCCATTGGTGTGCCCCCTGAGGTTGCCCCAGTCCCCATGGGTGCCCCTTGAGTGCCCCCAGTCCCCCTTGAGGGTGCCCCCCTGTCCCCCCCAATGGATGTCAGTGCCCCCCCATACCATGGTGGCCGTGGCCCAGGTGGGACCTTACCACCCCGGACAAGGAGCACAACTGTGCCACTGGGGTGACCCCAGTTCCCATGGTGTGCCCCAGTCCCATGGGGTGCGCCCCCTGGAGGTGCCCCCAGTCCCCCTGAGGTGCCCCCTTGTCCCCAGCAGGATGTCAGTGCCCCCCCGTGCCACAGTGGCCGTGGCCCAGGTGACCTCCCACCCTGCGACCAAGGGAGCAGAATGGTGCCACTGGCGGTGACCCCTGTCCTGTGGGGTGACCCAGTCCCAATGGGGTGACCCCTGTCCCCCTGGTGGTGGTCCCCTTGAAATGCCCCAGTTCCCCATGGGGTGCCCCCTGAGGTTGCCCCCTGTCCCCCCAGGATGTCAGTGCCCCCCCGTGCCACGGTGGCCGTGGCCCAGGTGACCTCCACCCCGGACAAGGAGCACAACTGGTGCCAGTGCTCGGCGCTGGTGCGGGAGGCGGCGGGACGGGGGGCCCGGCTCGTGTTCCTGCCCGAGGGCTTCGACTTCATCGGGCACGGCCCCGAGCAGAGCCTGAGCCTGGCAGAGCCCCTGGACGGGCACACCGTGGGCAGGTACCGCCAAGCTGGCCAGGTACGGGGAACTGTCGAACTGGGAACTGGGGGGGACTGGGGACACACCGTGGGCAGGTACCGGCCAGCTGCCAAGGTACGGGAGAAACTGGGGGAACTGCGGAGTGACTGGGGGGAACTGGCGGGGACGGGGGGGAACTGGGGGAACTGGGGACACCCACCGTGGAGCAATGGTACCGCCCAGCTGGCCAGGTTATGGGGACTGGGGAACTGGGGGGAACTGGCCGGGAATTGGGGGGAACTGTGGAGAATTTGGGCGGAACTGTGGGATACAACCGTGGGCAGGGTACCGCCAGCTGGCCAGGTACGGGCAACTGGGGAATGGCTGGGAACTTTGGGGGAAACTGGGGGGGACTGGGGGGGAACTGGGTCGAACTGGGGGACTGGGGGAACTGGGGGGGAACTGGGGGACTGGGGGGGACTGGGGAACTGGTTGGGGAACTGGGAGGGACTGGGGGGAACTAGGGGACTGGGGGGAACTGGGGGGGACTGGGGAACTGGGGACACACCTGTGGGCAGGGTAACCGCCCAGCTGGCCAGGTACGCCGGGAACTGGGGGACTGGGGGGACTGGGAGGTGACTGGGGCTACTTGGGGGACTGGGGGAAACTGGGGAAACTGGGGACACCCACCGTTGCGGCAATGGAGTACGTGGCAGCTGGCCAGGTACGGGCAACTGGGGGGACTGGGGGAACTGGGGACACACCTGGGGACACACCTGGAACAGCTGGGACAGGAATGGGGTCCAGGGGTAGGGTTTGGGACAAGGACGGGGGTCAGGGATAGGGTTTGGGACAAGGACGGGGTCAGGAACAGGGTCAGGGACAGGGTTTGGGACAGGAACAGGGTCAGGGACAGGAACAGGGTCAGGGATAGGGTTTGGGACAGGAACGGGGTCAGGGATGGCACTGGGGACAAAACCAGGAACGGGGACAGGGCTGGGGACAAGGGCAGGGCGGGGGGTCCCGTGTGCCCCTGTCCCCATCCCAGGGAATGTGACGTGTCCCTGTCCCCATGTCCCCAAGGAATGTGATGTGTCCCTGTCCCCATCCCCAGGGAATGTGATGTCTGGCTCTCCTGTCCCCAGGGAATGTGATGTGTCCCTGTCCCTGTGTCCCCATCCCAGGGAATGTGATGTGTCCCTGTGTCCCTGTCCCCAAGGAATGTGATGTGTCCCTGTCCCCATCCCAAGGAATGTGATGTCTGGCTCTCCCTGTCCCTCTATCCCCAGGGAATGTGATGTGTTCCTGTGTCCCTGTCCCCATCCCAGGGAATGTGATGTGTCCCTGTGTCCCTGTTCCCATGGAATGTGATGTGTCCCTGTCCCCATCCCAAGGAATGTGATGTCTGGCTCTCCTGTCCCCAGGGAATGTGATGTCTGGCTCTCCCTGTCCCCATCCCCATGGAATGTGATGTCTGGCTCTCCTGTCCCCATGGAATGTGATGTCTGGCTCTCCCATCCCCAGGGAATGTGATGTCTGGCTCTCCTGTCCCTCTGTCCCCAGGGACTGTGATGTCTGGCTCTCCTGTCCCCATGGAATGTGATGTCTGGCTCTCCCCATCCCATGGAATGTGATGTCTGGCTCTCCTGTCCCCAGGGACTGTGATGTCTGGCTCTCCCTCGGGGGTTTCCACGAGCGCGGCTCCGACTGGGACACGACCGGCCGGATTCTACAAACTGCCACATCCTGCTGGACAACTCCGGTGGGAGCCCTGGATCCCAACATTCCTGACCCCACAGTGTCCCCCTGCCACCCCCTGTGTCCCCAACTGCCACATCCTGCTGGACAGCTCCAGTGGGACCCCTGGATCCCAAAATTCCTGACCCCACAGTGTCCCCCTGTGACAACTCC